TTTATTTTATGTTACTGTGAATCAGTTTAGTGTTGTTTGTAAATATATTTGACAGTTTTGTAGGAATGAACACGTTTGGGATGTAAACACTTTTTATTTCCACTATAAAAAGCTAAGGTGTTTGCATCAATGCTGCCTTTATCTGTTTAACCCTTTATATGTACTTTTCTCCTGTGTGTAATTTTGTAGGAACTGGTGTGCTTATGTGGTGACACGTACGGTTAGCTGTGTGATGGAGGATGGAGTGGAGACATACATCAAACCAGACTATCAGCGCTGTACCTGGGGCCAGTGTCCTCGAGTGGCGTAAGTATCTGTTTCTGTTTACTGGAAAAKGAGTTTATTCTGGATTTGGTTTTACTCCTCTGGCATCCTGTCTCCATAGTTCATTTCCTTTGTCCATCCATCATCTGCTCCTTTTTCCTGTATAGAGCCACTGAATCCACTCAGCTCTTTCACTTATTGTTTCTTTTTTTCTCATTTTCTCCAGGGTTTTAAATTAAAGGTTTAACTGTTTTGCAGTGTGTTCTGTACAAAAGTTATGAAAAATGAAAGTCTTACCTGCTGTATAGCTTTTCGAACGACCTGAGTTGCACATTTTAATACCTTTGGACGTCTACCTGTATACTAAGCTTCAGAAAATAAAATAAAAAATCATTACTCTCAAACAACATAAACTTTATTCAATCTGGAAAGACTCATACAGAWAGTTAGCAGTTAAAAAGTTTTATTTGACATGAATGAGTAATGTTCTTTGGCACTTGAGCCCCAATAGTGCCCCTATATAGTTTCCTATTGGAAAAAAAAAAGCAACCAAACCAAGAAGCCAGCAGATTGTGATAAATCTTCTCATCACAGTCTCCCATCCTGAGCAGYACATTGGCAGCAGTGGAAAGGAAAAACTATTTTAACAGGAAGAAACCTCCGGCAGAACCAGGCTCAGGACAGGCCTGATCTGCCTCAAGTGGCTGGGTTTGAGGGGACAGGAAACAGACAGCAAACATGAGGACTGATCCAGGAGTACTGCCCTCGGAGAATGAGGGTGGAGGTGGAAAAACACAGCCGGGGAGCAGGTGTAACCAAGGACACAGAGTCTTATAAGTGTATCTTTGCATGGTGGTTGGCTGCAGTGAGGAGAGGACCTGATGCTGATTGTCTGAAGCTGGGCTCATGATGTAGCGATCGGATGGAGCAGATGAGGTGGGGAGAGTCCTCCAGTCTGAATTTATGCTTAAGCTTAATTTCAACCTGGAAAGACTCACTCAGAAATATAGCAGTTAAAAGGTTTTATAGGACATGAATGAGTAATGTTCTTTGGCACTTGAGCYCCTCCAGAAGACCCCGTCTTACCCCCAAAAGAGGGTGCTGAGGCCAAGCTATGAGATGAATGATGGATGAGTGACTGCTTTGACTAAGGAATGGTGATGACGAGTCTTTGCTAAGGCAAAGACGTGGAGAGGGTGTGCACTTGCTGTGCCTGGAAGGCATGGTGAGGTGTAGGCTTGAGTGTATCTGTGATGACATAGGGCAAGTGTAGCTTKGTGGTGCCTGCAAAGGTGTAGAGAGGGAGAGGTGCAATGAGCAGAACTGGTTTACCTAGGCGAAAGAAATGTTAGAACTGCACAAGGCYAATCGCCATCAGTGATTTGTGGAATGAGCTTACTTGGTGAGAAGACATTGAATGGCTAGCATGGAGTGGATATCTGGGCAGATGCATGAGGAGTAACATCATGTAGTAAGAATAAGGTCCAAGGTGTAGGGCATAGGGTTAAATTTTGAGAATGGAAGTGTCACTGCATATATCTGTCTGAGCAAGGTGAACTCTTTAAATTTCCTTATAGAAGAAACCTGATAATGTGATTGTAAAGAGGCTTGGTGAGCTATGAGGTCGATGACTTTTGAAGAGAAATGACATGCAACTGAACTACAGAAGTAAGGAAGCCTGAAATGATGATGATTAAGTTATGATTCAGGCAGTAAGAAATGATTTGATGAGAATGGAAGAGATTTGAGCTTCACAGAATTTAGCGAAATATAAGTGAAAATGTGTGATTGAGTGTTMAAGGAGCTACACTGGATTTCATGACAGAATATTAATTTATTAATTTATTGGCTAACCCTGCCTGGGTGTCTAGCGTGCTATTTGTTCTGTGAGTTGTCTGAATGATGGGGTGGGCGTAGTATTTCTTCTGGGGTGGGGCTGGGCGGATGGCTGTGATGGCGGCAGCGGGCTGTGCTGGGTCGTCCGGCTGGCCCCTTTGTTGTGGCGGGGGCTCGCTCTTGGTCCCTCCTTGCGCTGTCGGCGGCTGGGTGTACGCTCTCAGCTAGATCATTCTTGCTGGGGTTCGGTAGCTTCTTTGGGCTGCCGATTGGCTCTGGGGCTGGGGGTCAGGTCTTGGGGGTCTGTGCAGCTCTGGGGCGGGGGGTCTGTTGGTCCCGGTTTCTGGCAGTCCTCCAGGCTCTGTCTGTCCGTGATCTGGCGTCTTCCGGGCCTGGCGGTCTGTCCGRAGGAGGAGGTCTTGGGGGCCTCAGTCCCTGGGTGGGTCTCGGGGAGCGGGGGAGCCTACTGCGGTCAGTGGGGGAGCTGGCCCCCTGTGGGAGCATTCTTGCTCCCTCAGTTTTTTCCTCCCCATCCCCCATCACAAACCTCCACCCTCTTCATTTTTCAACTGCACTCACGTAGGGTTTTTGAGCCACAGGTGTGTTACAGGGGCAACAATTTTACATCTGTTTGCTGTGGCCACCTGGGCTCCAATTTTACTGTACACCTTAGACATTTACTCATAACCTCATAACATTTACACGTAGGAACTTGGGAGTGGGCACTTATGCATGTAAGGGGCAGGATGGGACAGTCTCGCCACTGATGCCTGTGCCCACTCACATTGTTTGCTTTTAGACATTTAGGGTTAGGGTTAGAGTTGGGGTGGAGGGTAAACTGGCATRGTGCTGGCCTCTGCCCTGTCTTCTTCCCCGTTTTAATTGCATTATAGAACATCACGCATCAACAGTACATCTGAGGGTGGAGGTGTGTGTGTCGGGATCTTTTTCACTCCCATGTTCCCTGTTGGCCGTCTGGGGATGGGGTCCTGGGGGGGCTGACCGTCTGGTGGGGCGTGGGCTGCGGACGGACATGGGGCTTGGAGAGGCTCCGGAGGCGGGGCTGGCGCTCTGGCTTCCTTGGGGCTGTTCAGGCTCCCGGAGTCTGGCTCTTGGTTGCTGTGGTTGGCCCGCTGACTGGGGTAGTCGGTTAGGGGTAGGCACCTGGACATTGGTAGGGTGTAGGGGTGGTCCGGGGCGTGGCTTTGCTGGGGCAGAGGGCTGGTCGGTCGGACTGGTGCGGCCCGGGCTGGGACTTGGCTGTCTGCTCTTCTCCACCCCAGATTGAAGGGGTCTACCTCCTGTGTTCAGGTGTGAGCTGCCCTCTGCAGGGGGTGGGTGCATATCCTGGACCTGGGGGGTATAGAGTTTGTATGGGGAGTGTGAGTGGATTGTGGCGTACATCTTGTGTATCTTTGAATGAGTGGGTGAGAGGATGAGGGTGGGACTGTGTGATTGTGTTTATGTATGCTTGTATTTTTGTCAGGCTGGGACTTGGGCAGCCCCTTCTTCGGGATCATTTGAGGGCCCATTACTTCCCTGCCGTGCTGTCCTCTGGTGGGTTGTGCCTTTGCCTGCCGGCGCACTGGTGGCTCTCGTTGTCCGGGGCTGGGTGCTTGGGCGTGTGCCGGCTCAGCCCGGTGGCTGCCCGGTGGAGCTTGGGTCCCTCTGGCCCTCTCGGGTCTTGGCCTGGGGGGGGTGCGCCCTGGGGGCCCGGGCCTCTGTGTCCATGCCTGGATCCACTCTGGCGCGGTGGGTACCGGCGGGGCTTGTGAGTTCATCGCTGTTGGCCCCAGGGGTTGCTGTGTGTGGTCGCTGGTGGGGCTCTTCCAGTTCTCTCCGGTGGTCCTCTTCGTGGGGTGGGTGGGCGGCCCTTCCGGCACGGGTGTCTCTGGGGCTGCGCGCTTGGGGTCCCTCTTGGTGTCTTTGGCGCTGGTCTCCCTTATGTCAGCTTCCTGCTTTGCGGGTCGGGTCTGTGGTCCCCCACAGTCTCTTTGAAACATTCCATTGGAGAGATCCATGCATGCTCACAACCGCACACAAACAGGCGTTTACATCCTGGGGTGTCTATTCGGACACTGACTGAATGGTGTGTGCATATGTGTATGTAAAGATATATAT